AAGAAAGACAAGGGTCAAAGCAGAGAAAAAAATACCCTGTGTTATCCCATTCCTATTGGAGTTTAGCCATAATTTTGTTTGCTTTCAACGTGTGCCTCACAATAATCAATTATGCATTATGCTGTCTTAACTTTAAAAAATAATCAAAAGCTTCTTTGAAAATAAGAAAGCATTCTTCAGACAGGACTATAAAGTCTTTTAATGTTGGCATTCATTTAGGCAATAAATACTTTATTAGGACATGACGTTACAATCATCCGTTCCATTTATGAACTTTAAAGCCTTCCTTTCATGATGTGAAATGCGGAAAGCTAGTAGAAAGAAAATGAGAGATGAGAATTTGTTTGTTAAAAAGTCAAGAGGCCAGTGAAACCCAGTCAGTAAGGCGGAATGAAGCTACATGGACTTGGTGTAAACGTTCAGTCCATGGGCTGAAGGCATCTAAGCTCTGCCACCCACCCTGTCCTTAAATGTCCCTCATATTCACCCTAAGGGTCCTAGGAAAAAGTTTCTTGTTTAAAATTGTGCTTTGGTGATAACACACACTGTAGGAGATGATTTATCTCTTTAGAAGAAGCAAAATATTGTCAGTATTATTCTGCATCCTTTTGGCAGCACCTTGAAATTGGGTAATCTATGAAATTGGTGGGATTTTTGTGCTGTTTCACTATTTCCAGAGTAATAAGATGCCCAAAATATATCCTAAATGTTGAGCTTATGTAGACCAAGATAAGGGATCTGTGCAGGCAATTTACTCGAAATACTTTTCTGGATCTCAGCTTGTGAAGACCAGAAAAGACCTGGTTTGTTTCCAAACTTTCGTTTAGGTTTTTATGCCCCCTAGTGGACAGTTAGTGTTTATGCAGTTGTAAAATCATGGCGATAATTTGAGAGCCGTTCTTTTGTTCAATTGAATTCAAACGTTTATCAGCAATATATGACACTCAGATCACCATAACTGTTATCATGTTTTAAATGTTACTCATCCATGATAAATAACTTAATCAAAAGACCTATAGTTATGGAAGAGAATCTAGTTTAATTGGTTTTGCTTTGCTTTGTTTTTCAACTCTTAAGGACTCTGTCATAGAGTGATTGCCCAGCGTGAGTGAGGATTCCCTCTCCAGCAAAACAAACAAACAAATTAAAAGATTTAAGGAAAGGGAAATAATGTGAACGGGTAGAACTGTCTTCTGGACAACCCCTCTGATCTTTATTCATGAATTCCCTGAAAATCTATTTTCTTCCAGTCAAGAACTCTAGTTATGAAAGAGAAACTTCTAGTTGCCCCTCCTTGGGTTAATAGAGGCTCACAATACTTGGAAAATATATGTGAAGTTCTCAAACTATGTAGGAGAGAATGACTGACTCTTAGGACAAAATAGGCAAGCTCAAAATCAGCGTAGCTTTTAGGCAAACGTTGACTTCAAAATGTCAAAGAGAAATCTTACCACTGAAATTAATACCAGGGCCCCTCTGGCAAACAAGTTCTGTACAAGCAGGTGTTATATGGCAACACTTTAAAAAGTCATTTGCTATTTGCAAACATTGCAGCTACTAAAAAACTATCCATCAAACGGTGATCCTTCTAGATTGCAAGTTGATGGCAGAAAATCCATGAATAACATAGCCACTGAGACCCTAAGGGATAGAAATATTGGTTAATAAGTAATCCAGTTTCCAGGTCAGAAGAAATTGTTTCTTATACCTCTTGGATTAGCACTCAAGCCAAAATAAAAATAAAAATAAAACCTCAAACACACAAAAATCAGTCACACAGAGAGAGAAGAGGAGAGAAGAGAAGAGGAGAAAGGAGAAGAGAGCAGTAATCATTCAAATATACCACTAAGAACTTATTTCTGCCCAGATAAAGCTGTCTTTATTTTAACTGTTTAGTTGTTGATACACGGTATGGTGGACCCAGAACCTGGCTCCATCAACAGTCATGAGTCTTCTGGGCTTCATTGCACCTGCGTGGGATCCAGCCATTCTATTCCTCATACCAGGCAACTTGTGACTTTTCATCATTGAACAACAAAATGAGCAGGGGAGAAACTGAACATCGGGATTATTTTAACAACAACCTTTTCTTCCTTTTGGGTGAAGATCCCTTCTGCATGTGTGACTGTTTTTTAAATACCATTTCTGCCTTCCCTCTTAGTATTCATGGAAAATAGATTTGCACATGAAAAGCCATGACTTTACTAGGAAAGTGAAGCATTACAATGCTTTTCATTTATTATATGAACATACATATATAGTCTTCAGGTCAGATAGAAAGCCATATGAATAAAAAAGGTCATCTGCCATTTAGAGTTCAAAACTACGCAAAAATGATTTTTCCTTTTTTGAGATCTCTATGCCATAGAGTTTTTGTAAAAATGTCAAATGTAGAAAATGAATGGATATTAATAAAATTTGATTTATAATATGTTGTGCCTAAAAACTAGTAATTTTTTCATGCCTCTATAAACTGAAAAATGAGAAGATTAATAAACAGTCAAATAGATGATTGATGCATGCATGTGTATATACAGACACACATGCATACATAGATAAATAGAAAATAAATATATGTAGATTCACTTTAGTTCTTTTCCTGACTAATCGTATTGTACCATTTGGGACTTTGAGTAAGTAGAAAAGATGCATGAGTTCAATGACTTTGCATGAAACTTCAAACAGCAGTAGAGAACGAAGTCCTTGGGAACCAGCACTTAAGTGTGTTCTGACTGTGGCTTGTGTGCCTGCATGTGTTGGGGAAAGTGCTGTGGGGTGTGAGCAGAGTCAAGGTCACAGTGAAGGTGTCTGATGCAACATGAGCGAATGCTGCTGGAACCACTTCTAATTTGTTACCAGTTTGACTTTTCTGATCTGGGCCGTGTTCAGAAATCTTGCCCCAGTTATGCAGCCCTCCATGTAGTCACAGAAGCTGGGCAACAATTAACACTGTACGGACATTCTGGTGCAGGAATTTGAGTCATCGGGAATTAGGTCAACTTCTGATCACCTACAAACACCAGAATGAGTAACTAAAGACTCAAAGAGCCCCAGTGGGATCCTCAAATACGATGCTGGTCAGCATCTGCCTGTTACTGTCACTGTCCTATCCTTGGCCAGCTTCTCCCATCTACAGGTTAACATAAAAATGTTCTCTCACAAGAACCATGTTAGTAAGGGTGATCATTTCCCAATAAATTCCGAAAAATGCAGTACTCTTTCCCAAGAATTAAGCCTTAGACAACCTCTATTATTAAAGAGGAAAACAATGAATGCATTTAACTGATATACAGTAAGAGCCTACTTCATGCTAGAAAGAGATAAAGTCAAATAGCTCTCACTGTTTCAACTTTATTTTTATGAAGAATGAAAAATAAGGAGAAAATATCAGACTAGAGATGTAGCTCAGTGATGTAACCCCTGACTAGCATGTACAATGTTCAATCCCCATTATCAAAAATAAAAAATAAGTATTATATCACATGTGGACTGTGAAAGTAACAAAATGAGAAGTTGTCATGGAACATGATTAAAGAAGGGAATAGCAACTGTGAATAACGTGAATTGGAAATAGCTTTTGGAATGAAGAATTAAGTGTCGCCACACACAAAGCAGACGGCCAAATGTCCAGTGTGCCCACAGGACAGAGTGTGGCAGAAACTAGTATAAAGTAGCCAGGAACTAAGTTGTCATGGTATTACCATAATCTGGAGTCAAACGGGATGAGTTTCGATTTGCTTTTGTTTCAAAACCATTGGAAAACTGAAATAAAGCATCAACTGGTCAATTTCCATTTTAAAAGCAGAGCTCTAGTCCAGGAGTTGTATTGTGGTAAATGTGGGAAGGGTGGGCAAGCTTCTCTGCTTGGTTAGTGGCCAAATGGAAGCTGAGGAAAGCAACCTACATGGGTTTTTTAATGTCTTAGTCAGAGATGAAAAGAGTAACTGGAAATAAGGCGTGACTCTAATCGGGACTGGGTAGCTCGGTAAGTACTGGCTTAAGAATGTGGAGGGGTCAGCGTGGGAGAGTTTTGCTAACTATAGATGGCAAACTGTGAAGACTGATTTGAGAATTGACAGAGGACGCTAGAAACAGGCAAGCCCTGTTTTGTCTAGTTTGCAGTTTTGTTGACTTTTAGGCATCCAGGTTTTGAAATAATCAGACCAAACCACTGAAGGTAGGAGTCTCACGTACAGGAGAACCATCCATAGAGGCTGTCAGTGCAAATTAGGGTACTGCTACAGAAAACCAACCTTAAGCTATGGCGGTGATTGAAAAGGCAAAAGGATTCAAAACTGAGAGATAAATTATGCAAAGCTTTAGAAATCAGATAAAGGGAAAGAAGCCAGAATAGATGAGAAAGGAGCTCCCAGTGAGGTAAGAAGGTAAAAAGTACTGAAGCAAAGAACAAAGTGTTTCAGAGAACAGTCAGCTATCACACACCAGCACAGGACTGATAAGGTTATCATGAGAAATGACTATCGGATATCACAAGTGAAGGTTAATGGAAATCTTTCAAGGATTGTTTTCACAATGATTGGAGCAAACGAAAGACATGTGATATACTGTCCTACATTTCCTGCTTAAATGTCATCACCCATCCAGTTCTGAAAACAATTAAGTGGAAAAGTGTGCCATCTAGACTATAAATTCCAGCCTAGAAATATTGACTATTAATAAATGTAAAAAAAAAACTGTGCCACATTATATAAAAGTCAAATTGAAGAACTATCATGACATCATCAGGCTTTAAATACTTGCTAGTCTGAGGGGTTTTGAAATGTTATCATCATTTTCTACAAGGTTGAAGGGTAATTTTTGCAAGTCTATATTCATAATTTCTCACTTACTAGCTTGACACCTTGCATATTGTAGTCATGAAGTAGAAATAAAGATGATTCCCAAGAATCATTTGACCTAAAGCTAAAAGGAAGAGAACTGTTTGTAACAGAAAGAACTGTTGCCCGTGTCTTAAGTCAATTATTTTTCCTCTGACCCAGGTATGGCGACATGGTGCCGAAAACCATAGCAGGGAAGATATTTGGTTCCATCTGCTCTCTGAGTGGAGTGCTGGTCATTGCGTTACCTGTGCCTGTGATCGTGTCCAACTTCAGTCGGATCTACCACCAAAACCAACGAGCGGACAAACGAAGGGCGCAGAAGGTAGGCTTTGAACTCCATGAAAGCAAGCAGTGATGATCTTCTTTAAAATCCTCATTGTTCATTCAGTAATAGATTAATGATAAAAAAAATCTACCATCTCAGAGGCTTAAAACAAGGTATTGTGTTTTCACTAGTGAGAGTGGATATAGATCAAGACCATGCTACTGGTCCGTTATCAGTCTAGAAATGGAAACTCCCTATGCACTGCACCGCTACAGTCAAGGACATGATGAATCGCACTCTGCCTCCTATGGGCTTTCATGAAGTAGCCCCAGACCCTAGCACGTCTGCTGCTTTAGCCAAAGTTGGTCACACAGCCCCTTTTAGATTAGCAGTGGGCAGAGAATGGCTGTGATGGGGCAGGAGGTAGGGGGGTAATTGTGAACAGACCTAATAACAGTTTATTCGGATGCATATGGTTAAGAATTATTATTGAAATATGATTTCTAGATCTAATTCATTTAGTCCTTATCCAGCAGAGATCAGACAGGTTCCAAATAAGAGAGGGCTGTGAATGGGAACCAGGATGTGTATCGCAGCTCTTTCACTCATTTGAGACAGGAATTGGGAAAATCCTGAGCGTTTGGACCTGAGTTGTTGTTCTTTGGTTTGTTGCTGTTGTTTTCCTAATAGTTTTTTTCTGTACCTCTGAACTTTACTCAAAGCACTTCATCCCTCTAAAAATAAACCCAGTATATGCTTGTGTGTAAAGTGGGGAAACAAGAAGACTATGACGATTCACAGAAGTATATACATCTGTGTAAGCTTATAGTTAACTTATAATAACTTATAATTAGCAACATTCAATGTTTACTGATGACTCCCTATGAGCCAGGAAATGGTGTAATATTCAAATCATCATTTATGTAGTCTTCACCAAACTCTAGGATTTGGTTGCCATCATTCTGCCCATTTAATGGGTGGGAATTCTAAAGTTTCTAGGAATCAAGCCATTATAAGATCATGTAACTAAAAAGTTGAAGACCAAAAAATTAAGTGTATGCCAGTCTGAGCAAGGGGGAAGGGCATAAATTAGTTATTCTCTACTTCCTGAATCAGTAGAGAAGAACATCTGAGGTGTAGTTTGGTGCCCATTGATAGTCCCCTTCTCTTGGAGCCATCTTGAGACTGATTGGTAAGACCACGAAAATCTGATTTGGAAAACTAAGTTTAATAAAACACTTAACACTGGCATTGCCTGCTTCTCAGAAAAACTGGGTGAGTGGTAGTGCATATGCCTTCCTCGTTCTACATCAAAAGAGTCATCTTGATAGAGTCCCTGCTGCTTAGAAATCACTTTGAAAATCTTCCTTGGACTTTCTCTGTAACTTACAATGCTACATTTCCAGTACTCTGCATGGCCACTGCATTTTTCCCCTTTCCAGAAAGCATCGACTTTAAAATGCCCAAACTCCATTCATAACTACATTTCATTTGGTGCACAACCTGGATAATTCAGTACACCTGCAAGACATCACCAGCAATTTAATGAACTGCTGGTTTTCTGACTGGTCTCCTAATGGAGTTTAAACATGGTGGTCAGCAATGTGTAGTACCAGTGAAGTATAAACCCTCAAAAGGGAACCCTTGGATAATTTCAGTGATTCCTTATAGGGACAGGCACATTCTGCAGAGGCCTCATTCATGTACAAGGTCAGAGAGCATTTTCCCTTCTGTTTGGCCAACATTAGAGCTGCTCGCTTTAAGGAGTTCCTCTCCCACTGGTGAACAAATTGCTAGCTTTAAATTATTATCCAGAGCAGCAATAAATAATTCAGACAATATTTATGTGGATTTCTAATAATCCCCTAGACTGGAAATGTTAAGAAAGAGAAAGAAGGGAGGAAAGGAGCAAGATGAACAGGCACTCTCTGCCGTTCCCATCCCTTGCAAGACACATCTGGAGCAGAGCTCTGAGGACTGGTTCCAGGCACCTCTACAAGGGACTTTCGAGTGGCTCTAGGCACACAGCAAAACCCCTCTCCAGGGCACTCACAGACACTGTCTGAAATAGCAATCATCCTCCCAAGAGCTTAACTCCGACCATTTACCTGTCTCCATTCTAGGCCTTCTGTTAGTATAAAAACTACTTTCAAACAATCAGCAGCACAAATAGCTGTGGGTTGTTTTTATTCTTCAAAGAATATCATGTATAACAACAAAAAAATGAGAATATCTTTTTAATATTAGGGTTTCCTTAAAGCAAGCCGTTCTAAGGCTAAACAAGTTCAAAGAAAGCCTGCTCTGATGATAGATGATATAAATGTGTTCTCTGCAGAATATGCCCTGCCTGTACCTACTCAAGCCCATGGCCATTCACTCAAGAGTTACCTTGTGAGAGGTGATACTTTACTCATGCTATAAAGCATTGACAAGCATGTTGAAACTTCATGATGGGACCAGTTACAAAGTGAGGAAAATGCTTGCAAGTATTTATACCTTAATAAATTTGAAGGCCAAAGCTAAATAGATGTGATATTATAAGGCACAATAATTGACAAGTGTACTTCATGAATGTGTTTTCGGCATTTTCAAACTATTGTTTATATTCTAAACTTCTGCCACTGTGTAATGAATTCTGCATGTGACTACTAGAGAAATAGCCAGATAGAATAACCTAATATAGTATGCGCAGTAAAAAGCCTGCATCCCATAAACTAAGCATAATCTCAGGACAAACGTGTATATTAAATAAAATAAGTTACCAAGGACTGTTTCCTACTTTCTATCTTGAGAGACTGGAAACAGAACAGACTATATTTCCATTAGATTAAGATGATTTATATTAATCTGTGTCTGGATCGCCGGTGAGCAGATATCACAGGTGGGGAAAAATAACCAATAATTCAGTCAAGCAAGCAGTCCACTCGGGAACAATTCAATAACAGCAACACTCAAATGGACCAATTAAAATAGTATTATGAAATTGTTGTTTTCTGTGTTTGGGTCTGTGGCTGGCTCCAACCTTCAACAAGGAAGGAAACATACATTGCATGTGTGTGAGGGATTTACTGCCAGTACTGTCAGGGGATTTCCCTTCTAGGCCCTTCCGCATACCGAGTCCTGTTTCCTACACACTCCCACCTTCAAAGCAAATGCATCGTTTACTCCATTCTTCTCAACCCTTGATAGTCTTAACTCAGTTACCAACCTGGGAGTGAAGACAGGCACCAACTGTGGTACCCTGTTCTACCCCAACTACTGGCAATGGCACCTTATTGGATTTATTTTTCATTCAGTCATTGAAAAGTCAGCATATTAAATAGAGTTTATTTGCCAGAAGTAAATCTTAACTGGTAGAATACTAGATCATAAGGGTGATATTTTGGAGCAAGGAGTTATCCTGTTTGGAAATATGAATGAGACTACATAGTCATATGCCTGTTCAAAGCTAACATGAATTTACCACACAATAATGATAATCTGATAATACCAAAACAACTCTCTCCATCCAGGGTTTCTACTATGGAGGATTTTAACGTGTCATTGTATTCATCATCTCTTGCAAAGGTTGCATCATTATTTCAGTTTTACAGAGGTCTTTCATGTGATCACACACCTATTGGTTTAATTCCAAGACCAGAAAACTTTAGCATTATTCAAATATATAAAATCTGAATATCCAGGGCTGGAGAGATGGCTCAGTGGTTAAGAGCATTGCCTGCTCTTCCAAAGGTTCTGAGTTCAATTCCCAGCAACCACATGGTGCTTCAGAACCATCTGTAATGAGGTCTGGTGCCCTCTTCTGGCCTGCAGACATATACACAGACAGAATATTGTATACACAGTAAATAAATAAATATTTAAAAAAAACAGCACTTGTATATGTTTTTGTTCAGCTGGTGGACAAAGGCAGGTTAGACAGATGCAAAAATAAATCCTCTTTTACAACCCAGAACTCATTGTTCAATATGAGTTTTGATACATACAAGAAGGAATATATAAAGAAAAAAAGAAAGAAAATAATCTGAATATCCATATATATTAAATATTAACATATATAATATATATATATATAAATGACTTTGCCTCTGATGTCCTATCACATAGCTCCCTGTGTGCCTCTGCTAGCTGTGAGTCCTCTTGCTCACTGTTCGTTTCACTCATTCATTCCACTGAGCCAAATCCCAGCACTGTGCCTGCCAAGGCTCCCTCTCTGGGATTACCCACACGTTAGAACTGGGAATAGCACACGGTCTAAGATGCTCTCTTCCACTCGCATCTTGCATGGCTTTGGCTTGACTCATTTCTGGGGCAGCTATTTTCCTTAGCAGATGGAAATAATCCAATAAACTCTTTCAGACCTTCAGAACGGACAATGCTTGGTGTACTAAATCCACGTGGAACATTTGAGCAGTGAATGGAAAAAACAAACTGTGATGTGTTGTCTGGACCACCTGGTTTAGGCAGGGAATGTGGGGGGGGGGGGGGGCAATATTCCCTGATGAATTGTCTCGGGTGAGTAAGATGAGAGACATTCTTTCAATCACTAGACTGCCAGGGATATCTCTATTTTCCCAAAGTATTGAAAATATTTTTTTTGATTCAGTAACACCATGGTTCAACACATTTACTAAAACCTCATCCTAATTTGCATTCTGACTGCTGGTACTTTGCTACTGCAAGAAGCTGCTATTTTCTCCAGGGCACAAGTAGGGGATTGAAGGGACTGCTCTCTCTTAACCTCTCATTACACAGCCAGCATTGCTATGACTGTCAGACTGTGTAGGCCACATGAAAAGCGAGTTCCTGAAGCAACTTTGTAAAGCAATCTCTTGCAATTACCTGCTTGAACCAAAGCTATAATCACAGATGGTAAAGGCTAGGATTCAACAGGTATTTGGTATGGTACTCCACGGGATGCATGAAGCCAATTAACTCACAGTAGTACAGCAAACTGAAAGAAAAGTTGTGGATGAAATTAAGACAAATGAACAGGTGGTTCTTTTACTGATACAGTACATGGCTTAGTACAAATGGATGTTCTGTCTTTAAAACAAAAATTTTTAACTCTCTTTTCATTTACTCTTTCTGTCTTTCACATCATACATCTCTGTCCCATTCATTTCCCATCCTTCTGTATCTGCTTTCTGCCCTTGCAACAAAGAATATTTTAAGAGAGGGGGGAAAAAAGAAAAGTAAAAAGGGGGAGGGAATCTTGTCATGGAAGCTGTAGTGTAACATAGTGAGCCATGCAGCAAACCCTTTTGTTCATATATCTTTACTTGCAACTGTCCATTGCAAAGAGTCATTGATCTGGTTCCAGTCTTCTAGTTTCTGCTACCCTATTGATGCTGCGTCCTCACTGGAGCTCCTCCTGTTTATCCTGCTGTTGCCTTGTGTTGTGGAAATCCTGCAGCTTTGGATCTGCAAGACCAGTCTCTTCACATACTCTAGCTGATCACAAATGGGGTGGATATTAGGGTGGGCCAACAAATAACCTTGATTTGCAGCCTGGGTAGCTGCAGGGTTGGTCAGCCCGCCAACTCTCCCTTCTCCTCACTTTCTTACAGAAGGTTAAGACTCTTTATGCATTAGTGGTTGCTATTAGCTGATGTGGGAGGTCCTCCTGTCTATGTGTTGCTTTTATTGGTTAATTAGTAAAGAACTGCTTTGAGCCTACAGCAGGGGAGAACAGAACTAGGCGGGGAAAGCTAGGCTGAATGCTGGGAGAAAAAAAGGGCAGAGTCAGAGAGAAGCCATGGTGCTGCCAGAGATAGACAATGGGAACTTTCCCCTGTAAAGCACAGCTATGTGGCGATATACAGATTAATAGAAATGGGCTAAATTAATATAAGAGTTAGCCAATAAAAAGCTAATGGGGCAAGCAGTGATTTAATTAATACAGTTTCTATGTGATTATTTTGGGTCTAAGCTAGCTGGGTGGCCAGGAACCAACAAGCGGCCCCTCCTGCCACAACTAGCATTTATAAATTTCTTATTATGTGATAAAAGATATATCATTCTTTTGTGATGGACAGCAGTTTTGTTTATGGTACATGTTCCAAAGAAAAAAGTCAGCATTACTCAACATTGCTGCCTAATGCTTAGAGAATGGGTGAGAGAGGTGACTGTGATGTAGGACATGCAATATACAAGACAGTAGGGGTGGAGGAAATGGAGTGGGGAGAACAAGAGGGAAGAAGAAAAGAAATGCAGGGGATGGAGACGGGAGGGTGTGAAGCAGAAGAACAGAAGACAGGTGGTGGATCAAATAAGGAATGAATGTCTGAGCAGCTGAAGGGATTGAAATCACCATATGCACTTTCTAGAAATCAATAGGTAAACAGCTTCTTAGCCATTGATTGGGGCAATTCTAAGCCATTTCCCTGCACGCTTGTCAGTGCCATTATTTTGTGGAGTTTGGTCTGAAAACCTAGCCCTGACGCACAGCTTTTGAAGGCAAAGGTTTTCTTCCTACCGTCCAACTTCTAATTCCCCAGGACTGATGAAATATTCTCAGTGATCTAAGCATTATACTGACAACAAAAGTGAAATTTGTCAGTTGTTCCCATTATGTTCAAAAACGATCTTGATTCAGTACATTATTTTAAAATGGAACCAGCACACACAAAGCACAAGGGTGAAGGAAGAAAGAGGAGAACCTAAGCCATGCTGATAGATGGTGTTTGAGACAGCTCAACACCCCTCTCAAAGAAGCAGATGAAATGAAAAGTCCATAAAACCTGCCAAAGCTTGCTCTCTCTCTCTCTTTCTCTGTGTGTGTGTCTGTCTGTCTGTCTCTGTTTCTCTCTCTGTATGTGTCTCTGTGTATGTGTCTCTCTGTTTCTCTCACACTTTCTCTCTATCTGTCTCTCACTGTCTCTCTCTGTGTCTCTGTGTATGTCTCCCCTCCCAAACGAAAGCATGTCTGCATTCTGAAGTTTGTCACCACAATGCTCAAAGGAAGCAGCCTTGCTTGCTATGTCAAAGTCCACTTTAAATTTTTGATTGACAAGCATGCCTGCGACTCCAGAACTTGAGAAGTGGAGGAAGGAGGTTTAGGAATTCAATGACCATCCTGGGCCAGCTGTGGCTCTGCTTCTTCCTCCAGGTCATTGACTGCACTGGTCCATGAGCGTGGAGGGAGCAGAAATAGGGAATAGGGTTTGGAGGGCTGTGAGTGCAACAGAGACAGCCAGCCTGGAGACAGACTTAGTCAATCAGCTCAACTTTATTCCAGAGAATAAAAAATATATAGGATTGGGGAGCCTGGGGACAAAAACCTAATTTGTATTAAGTGGCACTCTCCTATTCCAAGGCTTCGTATATGGCCGTAGGGTTCTACAGCAGAGCTCATAACATAAGTCCTCTAGCAGGAATCTGTGTCAAGGGTCAAGCTAAAGATAAACCAGGCTGCTGGCTTAGAGACAGCATTTAGATAAGGTCAGCTCTCAAGGTCCAGGGCCACTATCCAGATAATAGCAGAAGGAGATCAGGAAGTTTCTGCAGGGGAGGGAGGAAGTCTCCTGTAACTGAATTTTTTTTTTCTCCTGCCAAACAGTTCCCAAATAAACACTCAGAGGTTTATATTAATTACAAACTATTTAGCCTATTAGTTCAGACTTATTATAAACTAGCTCTTACAACTTGAATTAACCCATTTCTATTAGTCTATATTTCACCACGAGTCTTATGGCATCTTGCCTCACATCTTGCTTCTCTGGCAGCTGCTGGCATCTCTAAGTCTCTGCCTTCCTTTTCCCTTTATCTTTGCTTGGATTTCCCACCAGGTTCTATTGGTCAAATCAGCTTCTTTATTAAGTAATGGTAATAAAACATATTCACAGCATACAGAAGGACATCCCACATCAGTCTCCATGTTGTCAAGCTTTTGGAAAAAAGTTGCCAGGCTGTGATAGCCTGAAACCTCTGGCCAGCAAGCAAGGCCTTCCAACAGCCAGCATCAGCTATTTAGTATATTCAAGGCCAACCTTAGTTTCATAAGAGCCTGTCTCAAAACAACAGCAAATACAAGTTAATTGTGCTAAAACATAGCTGTGCTCCGAGCTTCTCAGGGGCCTGAAGTGAGACCAGTTCAGTGCTAGCCTCTACCACTTAGAAAAACCCTTTCTTCAAAGTATTAAATAAAACACAGTGACTGAAAAGTTGGATCAGCAGTTAAGAGTATTTGCACCTTTTCCAGAGGACTAGAATTCAGCTCCTACCATTCCAATAAAGTGATTCAAAACCACCTATAATTTCAGCCTCAGGGTATTAAACATAATAATATATTATTTCCCTCTAATTCCTCCCTCCACACTTCACCCCCTGTATAATCCCTGTCAAATTAAAATTTAAAAAACCAACAGAAAAGACCAGGGATATAAATCAGCACTAGAGCACTTGCCCCACATGCATAAAACCCTGGCTTCAATTCTCAGTACCTAAGAAACCAATATTTAGTCAATAGTTGACTAAATAAAGCATACTTTATTGGAACAGTGGCATATCATACAGCCATGAAATTTATAGTCATCTTTGTGTATGTTCCTAGATGAAGTTCCCCGGAGTAGAAATTAAATAAACTACTTAATTTCATGTCCTCCCAGCTGCATTAAGATATGTACATGCATGTACTTAGCTTCTGACAGGACATACACCAGCCCCTGGCTACAGAGTGTAAAGGGAGAATGGCCAAGAGTCAGACTACTTGCCTTGTGTGTGTCTTTGTGATATTAGCAATTTTTTTTCATGGCATACATGTTTGTTCTACTTTTAGAATGGAAACACCTTTTGAATTTTTACACTAAACAGAATTCTAGACCTTGAGACCTTGAGGTAGTGTGATTATGGATTATTTATAAAAGGAAGAGTGGACTTCTTAGAGTAAGTTTGTAAGAAACTTCTTGACCAAGTCACCCCCTTGTTTTGTTGCATACGCTTGTTACCCTCTAGTCATAAGGTGTGGTCCCCAGAATGTGCTGTCCATGGTGAGAAACCAGGCTTCCTCTACGATAGTCAGAAGGTAGCCATGTGGCAGAGATTGGAAAGCTTGCCACCGGTTGTCGTGGTAAAAAATGCTGCACTGACAAGCTCACAGTTGGAACTGTGACCAACTGGATAATCATATGAAATTCTCCAGACACGAGAACAGTCTATGGGAAATGCTTTGAAAGTTTAGGAGTTTTTAAATCCATTTGATTAGACTCATTACATACTTTATCTCAACAGATTCACAAGTAAAATTGAAATCAAGTGAATATATCAATGAACAAAGCTGTGCCAACATCAAATTGCCCAAATTCAAGGATGTTAAGATCACATGTTGTGTTACTCAGCCTGGGCTCTCCATTGATCAATTTCATAGCATAGCTGTAAATGAGACAATCAATTTTCTCAGTACTGGAGAATAGTGAATTTAGAGAAAGATAGGGAGCAAAGGAGAGGGGTAAAGAGAGAAAGAGAAGAAAGAAAGGGAGAGAAGGAGGGAAGAATGGGGAGAATGGGAAGGAAGGATAAGAGAGAAAGAAAGAGAAACAAACAAGAAAGGAAGGAGGGAGTAGAGATGGAAAGAAGAACATGGTAGAGAAGGAGGGAGGGGAAGTCTCAGCTCATTCCTGGAAACAAGTCACTGAGTTTTCAATAAGAAACAAGTGACATGAACAAGAGTTGACAGCGGCTTTGCTGGGCCTGTGGTTTCCACTTCATCACATTACGCAGATTGGAGTAAGTATAAGTCAAGTGATACTGTTATTTCGCTCCCGAAAAAAAAAAATTGAAAGAATAACAAAATAATTTGATCTTACTATAAAGTTGAATCCTAATTCTGGACTGCATAAGTTCAGATATCTCCACGACAGTTAATAAGAAAACACTCAAAACTGGGAGGACGGCTTGAATACTTACAGCTGGGAAGCAGGTTTGCTTTGAAAATATGTCTGTTGTTCGTAGAATTGCACAGGATGCAATCCTGCGGGCAACCACCAGGGCTCACTGAGTAAAGGCTTGGCATCCCAAGACCTGAGTCTAAAACTCAGAAACCAGCATGAGATCTCTGTCAGAGCTGTGCTCTGACCGCCACACATGTGAGCTGTGATGTTACACTACACACATCACACACACACACACACACACACACACACACCACCACCACCACCACCACCACCACCACCACCATAAAGAATAACTTCTTTTCAAAGAGTTCATTCTCTGACTTATAAACAGAATTCATCAGTGTTCACAGGATCTTTGATTTTCTTCTCCTGTAGAAAGCAAGACTGGCCAGGATCCGGGCAGCCAAAAGTGGAAGTGCAAATGCCTATATGCAGAGCAAGCGGAACGGGCTACTCAGCAACCAGCTGCAGGTACAGTCAAACCCTTCACTTGGCTGTAACCATGGGCTCATCAGCATGGTCGTGATTCAGCTCCACTTAACCATATGATTTTATTGTGGATGATTATGACCATGACTAGTGAAACACAGAATGACATTTTTATAACTCTCCACTGTACATTGTAGTTGCCTATAAGAGCTTAGAGCCTGTGCTAGGACATACTTCCACTGGTCATGATTTCTGTTTTCACTAAGGAATCCCAGCTCTGCGTTGTCCACTGACATCCTGTCCACTGTGAAATGGACACTGTAAAAACTTCTCATTCATTCAAGTTCTTCATTTTATTTCANTTAAAAGTACACTTTGATAGGATTCTGGGGTGAGACATGATATATTTCTCTACTTCCATTGAAGAGAGAACATCATTCAGCAAGTATTACAAAGGCCATATGGTCACAGCAGAACTTGGCAAACTCCTGATAAACTCGATAATACTCTAATACGGAGTTCCATTTTTGCTTCAAGAAGGTGCAGTCTTAAAAGACAAAATGGAAATGAACCTGCTGATTACCCAGACTTAATTATACACTTGTCTATTTTTAATGAGTAAGTGTTGCCAGCTAGACTCAGAAAGCAGGCTGGAACTCTCTGCACCCATGGGGAGCCCAGATTCTCCTCACTTCCAAATTAAAAGGCAGTTCCGTGTCTTCCTTGTGTTGCAGTCTTCAGAGGACGAACCAGCCTTCGTTAGCAAATCCGGATCCAGTTTCGAGACCCAGCACCACCACCTGCTTCACTGCCTGGAGAAAACCACGGTAAGGAGACAGCGGAACTGCGGCCTTGCACCCTGACTGCAATGTTGCTCACCTGTGCAAACATGATGTCTCCAAGCAGAGATCCTCTGCATTTCCCAAACGTATGCTAAAAGCAAGGGTACAGACAATTCCGCAGTAATTGAAATTACTTAGTTACAATTCAACTTGGAAATTGTTATAGTTATTATAGATGCTTGGCCTTAAGTGACTGGCTGCATTAAGTCCCATCCAAGATACCAGATGAATAAAGAGCGAAAGATATCTTCCAATACCATATGTGTTTGTAAAACTATTTAAAGAGGAAAACTAATAAAAGTTCAAGTGTCCTTATATCTAAATAAAGAAGCTATCAAAGCTGTCACAAAAATGACAAGGAGAGAAAGTATGAGAAAGCACATATTTCTTTTATTCACAAGTATAATGACTAGAGATAGATATTTAAAAATTATATCTTTAGTACAATAAAATGATAATCTAGAGTATCCCTAGATAAAGAGAAGTCTCTGTCTCCTGGCTTCCTTATTGTTGGTGAAGATTCTCCCACAGCAAAGGTGTCCATGTGTATCACAGTCTGTGACCATGGAACAGAACGAAGTATTTATCATTTATGAATCAGGTCAGCTCACTCACCAGTGATACAGTATAAATAGTTTAAATTCTAACATGTCTCTCATCAGTCTGTTTATCCAGATAGACATTAAGCAAATATATATCACTTGCCTATTCTGTATCCAATAGTGAACCAGATCAAAGACATTATGAAAGCACTGTGAACTCCACCACCATGTAGCCCCCACTGATAAGACAAATCAGGAAAGATGGATGTGCTGGGGAAGGACAGTAAGCAGTTTAAGCATCGGAAGGGGCAAAATGTGAAGCAATGAGGAGCCAAGAGTAGGCAGACTCAAGAAAGCCTTCCTGGGTGCCTATCGGTTCTTTGGGAGGTTGAGAGACGCAGATGAATTTGGAGTTAGTCAAAGACATGATGATAGCAGAAGACAATGTGAGAGGTGGAGAGATGGCTCAACCATGAAAGGCTTGGCTTCGCCCCTACAAGAGGATAACTAAGTGTAGAAAGAGAGCAGACAAATGGGAGAGGAGGCAGAGAAAGAGTCAAAAGGACACTAGGAGGTGCGGGAAAGATGGTGGCCCAGTCCTGCACTGTGATGATCATCTCATGAGAAGTGGAAAATTGAGAGATTTAACCAGGGAAGATACATGACTATATTTAAATTTTAAATAAAGCCATACATGCACTTCTAATGTAATCGGAGAACACTTGGAAAGTGGGGTGATAGAGTAAAAATAGATTTATGTGTCACTCTTTTGTCTTTGCCACTATTTTATCACTGAAAGGTATGTCTAAAAAAAATGTCTTCAATGCCAAGAAATACAGTCTAGTTTGAGCTATGCAGAAAAATAGAGAGCAACCAGAAGGCAAGCAGCTTCTCTGATTCCACTCCAGACGAGATAAGTCCAACTGCTGTGTGCTGCAACTGTTATCATGTGTGCTGCTGTGCATGCACCGGAAGAGAAGAACACAGATCATAAATCCTTTGTGCAACAAAAGGCAACATGAAATTCGGTCACCAAATCATTGTTCTCTGCGCTCTGAACAGTAGAATGTTGAATTCTGTGTACTTCAAAATGCTACTGTCAGCAAAGAAATGACAAAATGAATAACTAAAACAATCTATTTCCCATTAGACTATGACTTGCTTCAATTGTTCTACTAACATTTTAGGATGAGGGATGGTTAAGTGAAATCTAAAATGTGCAAAGCCTTTCATTATAAGGCTATTTCTACACAGAGAGAGATAAAATAGTAATTGAAGTCATTCCCCAGTAATTCAAGCTAAAGAATGTTTGCTCTAACATTTCTGAGGCAAAATTCGTATGTAGGCGTTGCAGGAGGTAATTCTTCCATATTTTTAAATTAAAATTTGTATGTGGTCTGTAAGACATGGTATGGGAGATGATGCACCTCACCGTCTGTCCTGAGTGTGGAATGAGGAAAATAGAAAGGGTCATGAATAGGGGTAAGGAAAGACCACCAAAGCTTAGAGCTAATCTCTTGTGAGATACACACATATGTTACATTCTTTACTAATAAATAGTAGCTGTCTGCACTTTGAGAATCTTAGGCTAGCATCAAAAGGAACAGGACTGCCTGAGGTTTCTCACTGCCTAATTGGAAATGTTTCTGTAACACATGAAGGTATTTGCTAATATGTGACAGGCAATCTGACTTAAGACATTCTCTTGCAGATGTCTCTTTTTATAAGTTTAGTCTGCATAATAAAGCCACTAGGAGTTTATAAATACTTATGAATATTATTTATATTCATTTAAAAGGTTTTTATAAGTTTATGATATCCTGATTTTATGTTTAAGTTAACAAATGATATTTGAAAAAAATAAATGTTGGCCTATAAATAAACATTGAATCAGCTTGCTCATGTCAGCCTTTACATCTAGCTAGAAAGACTTTTCTCCACGAAAAAATTTCCCTAGAGGAATTTTTACTTTGATATTTTAGTCTTTTGGACAGTCCTATTACTATTGGATCAAGTCTAACCAATTTTTAAATGGTGATATTTAATCTCTTTTCCATTAGAAAAAATCATTTCTCTGCATTTTCATCCCACTCTTGCACAGAACCATGAGTTTGTGGATGAGCAAGTCTTTGAAGAAAGCTGTATGGAAGTTGCCACAGTTAACCGTCCTTCAAGTCACAGCCCCTCTATGTCTTCACAACAAGGAATCACCAGCACTTGCTGCTCCCGGCGACACAAAAAAACTTTCCGCATTCCTAATGCCAACGTGTCCGGAAGTCATAGAGGCAGTGTGCAGGAGCTCAGCACAATTCAGATCCGATGTGTGGAGAGAACCCCGCTATCCAACAGGTACCAGGGTTTGACCTGTAATCTGGGCTTATGATATAAATGCCTGTCCTGGTTCCTAGAGCGTGTCTGCTGCAATCATGCTACAACTGATAATGTCCTCTAAGTCCTAGTTCCTAGAAAACAAGAGAGGCAAAACTGACCAAACAAAGAAAGCATTCAGTAAGGGTCAAGAGTTGCCTTAGGAGGGAGAGGGATAGCTTCTTGGATAAACTGATTGCCATGGAAACCTAAGGACTTGAGTTCAAATCCCCTGGAATCCACATCAAAGGCGGGCATACATTGCAGGGGCATATAATCCCATCACTTGGTAGGCAGAGACAGGCAATCCTGGGGACAAGTTGGGTAGCTAGACTAATTGGAGTTGCTGAGTCAGCAGAAGACCCTGTCTCAATACATAAAGTCCAGAGTGACCGGGGAGACACCAAACATCAGACTCCCTGCTCCTCCCTCCTCCTTGTCCTCACGGAAAGTTTGTGACATGGGAAGTTGTCTCACTTTCTACAAGTGATAAGACTATTATTTGGAGAAAACTTCAAGTTTTAGATACTTAGAGCTGTTATGTTGAGGGTCTTATAAAACCATCATTAAGTGGATTACTTTCAAGGAACTGTGCATTGCAGCAAAACACTGTCTATAAGATTTTGTGGCCAGAAATGTTATAAAATCTCTATGAAATGACATTCCATGCTGGCACCTTAAGCCTCTCAAAGACTTCACACACACACCCCCCCCCCGAGAAAATACTATTTCACTTTGTTTATCTCAGACATATAGTTCTTATCTGAGCTCCTTTTTATATTTGTATAGAATATACTTTGAGAAACAATTGATTGAACTAAGTTGAGCATGATTTTAGGAATATAAATCATGTTACTGTACTAACATTTAAGATAATATATGTAAAAATTGTTTCAAATATGGTATTGCTTATGTATTTTAAATGCTATTTACTAGTAGTAAAGTAGATATTCTTCAATTACAAGGAAAAAAAATTTAAATAGCTTACCTGTTCAAACCTACTTTTCTCCCTCATCAGCCGATCCAGCTTAAATGCCAAAATGGAAGAATGCGTTAAACTAAACTGTGAACAACCTTACGTGACCACAGCAATAATAAGCATCCCAACACCTCCAGTAACCACGCCAGAAGGTGACGACAGGCCAGAGTCTCCAGAGTACTCGGGAGGAAATATTGTCAGGGTGTCTGCTTTGTAAGACAATTGTCACAGGTCTAAGAGAATTTGAACCCTAACTATGAAAAGAATCAAAAGTAGAAGAAAGAAGAAATAATAACCCATTCTTTTTAAGATTAAGACAGTAAACCAAGAAGTTTGGAAGTGGAAAAAAATAAAGCTTTCGAAGTTGAGGATATGAATCGGAAGAACAAAGGGCATTTCGAGACAGAGTTCGACCTGCTCACAGAGGAAGACTCTGTGGTCCTTTGACTTTGGGAATGAGCACAATGGAACACCATCTGTTGATGCTTCTTATGATCAGAACTCTTTTTTAATAAAACGAACAAAATGAATCTTTGAACATAATGTTCCAGTTGAATGCAAAACAAAAAAAATATGGAAAACATTTTGATAAAAATTTTTCCTGTTAAAACCATGAACATTGGCTCTGGCAAAGATTATTATAGATGAAAAAACTCATACGATCCATTTGTATGGACTGAAGGAAACCATCCTAATGCATGCTAGAATTCTTTGGAGCAGTGATCTCAGTTTCCTTATGTTGTCTTCAGAATAGGCATGATAAACTATACCTGTAGAAAGGGGAACTCTCTGTGCACTTACAATGAGCTGATTGTCCATGTTCCATGATGGGCTGTGCACATAAACTCCTTTTAGTACTGCAGTCTTTCTCATGGGGATGCACACTAGTAAATCTAAAGTGTTTGGATAGTTCAGTATTAATTATTGTTTAACCTTGCACCTAGTCATTGTTAAACTGCAATAACTCATTCTATATCTGTTGTATCAGGAATCAGGATTTTTTTTTGGACTCTCCATATAGTCATAGATACAGTAAGAGCCACGTTCATAGAAAAGCTTCTGGTGTGGCCAGGCTTTAGGTGACTTTTTAATCCAAAACTACTGTGTCCTAAATGTTTTTTTGGTAGTATTCTTTGGTCATCTGTATTCCAGTGACCCAGTGCATTTATCTGTTCCTGGATCTTTCTAGTGTCTTTCTACTGGGTTTACCCATTAATGACAGGATTAGTATTTACTGTAGTAAAATAAAAAAAGTTTCCTATGTTTATATTTCCCAACTGGTTATTAGAAGTAGTCTGCCATTAATCCCCTTGACAGAAACTAGAGTAAGGGAGTTGACATGAAAAACTATTTGTGGAAAACACAGACCCTGGAAACATCTATATGTATTTCGTGAGAGGACTTAAATGGGACTAAAAATCACAAGACCGATGATCTCAGCATCTGTCTCAGTGTATTGTTTATTTTGATCCAGATCTTAAATACATTTGAGAACAACTGATATACAGAGGCAAACTGAAGTGCTTTATGTAGCAATATCTAATGAGAGCAGGCTCCTGAAGCCACCCAAGAAAGCAACAACTTATCTCAAACGATCCTGTGTATCACAAGGCACAAAGTTCTCTGCAAAATCAGGACAGAAGTGTGAAGATGTGAAGCTGACCACTTTGTACATTAGTGAAAAGTCTTGCTATCTTTTCACCCTTAAATATCCGAGACACGTCTGCACGTGACAGTGTAAAAAAAGTTTAATGTCATGAAAAGTTTTGTTTATTTCAAGCCACCACTGTAAGAACGAAAGCTTAGTTTCTATTCATGGAAAGAGTTAATAATTACTCCTCTACCATAGAGGTTTGATATCAATGCTTATCACAATTTACTATAAAAAGGAATTAATCCAACTATTTTCAGATAAAGCCAGAAATGATTGAGTCTCGTTTGTAGAATAGCTTCTAGAACAGGGCTAGGCACACAGTCGATCTTCCTAAACAGCTGAATGTCAGGGAGGGGAACTCAACTTTCTCTCGGGAAGACCTGGCTTTATTCCTAGTGCGTCTTTTAAAAAGTTACTAACCTTCCTGCGCGTGAATACTAACGATTCTATTAACACCTGCCTCTTGTCACTTTGTGCTTCTAGAGCAAATATATAGTGAAACTTCTTTGATGGCAATTGTTGAAAAGCCTTTTAAAGTATAGACTAAGAAAAATACAATCAGGAACACTTAACATCATTTGATTCCCAATAAGAAGCTCTATTTTCATGTTCTTAATAGTACAAAAAAAATGAAATACACTTAGCATATTTTGGTTGATAATTATTCTTCCTCTTTTGAATTGTCATTTATCACAAATATTTGATTTCCGCAGATTTTCACAGAAAAGAAATTAAAAAAACTTTTTGATGTTTTAGGTGATTTAAAAATATACTGTGTTGGTGGTGAATGACTATTGATGACTGTGATAAGTGCACCTGTATTGTAAGTGAAATGTAATTATTTCTGTGTATCATATGGAGTAACTAAGGTCATTGTTTTTTGACAATTTTGTTTGAAATTCATATATCTTATTTCAAAGGATAGCATAATATCTGCATTATGCTGGAAAAATAGACTTTTGGAGAATACTTAAATAAAACACGTGCATGCTTGAACAGGACAACCTGGTTGCCTGTGACCCTTTTTTCTTAGATTTAATTCCTTCACAAAAGATGTGTCGCACTCAGTGTAAACCTGAGAGGTCTCTGTGCTCACGCAGACTAAAAGAACTCAGGAGTTCACCGTGTTCTAAACTGGTTAAGCTTTTCTTCAACAGTAGGACACCAGAAAGAGGCTTGATAGGGAAGAACGTCAATTTTAATGAATTTTTAGAAGGAAAGTAGGCAAGCCATTTAGTACAGAGACTAATTTTCACTCTTTCTGTATATTATCATTTTGGGTATACAGAATCCATATTCTTGTTAGATATTTTCTATGATGGCCTGTGAGCTCTCCAGGCATCAGTCTTGGATTTGAAGGGTTCACTGCACCTCTCTTTCCTTACCTTCAGTCTCAGCAATAGCTTGGAAATCACCTCTGGGGAGTTATACTCATGTCTGCCAGCAACATTGCTCAAAAGAATAAAATCAGTTCTTGCTATCAAACACGAGTCCTCTGGGTCTCGTAGGGCAGACATGCATCTTCCCTAAAGAGTTATTGCAGTGTTTGCTTTGTTAACTCATGGGTCTAAGGATAGTTATTACACTGTGCGAACCTCAACAGAATTTTCAATACAGCCATTTAAAAAAATAAAATAAAAATTTAAACTACTTCTATCTCAGCTAGCTGCATTTAGGAGCGTAATTTTTATCAAGTCATTATGTTTTATTTCTAAGCAATTAATAATTTAAACAGCAACTTGTTTGTAATCATTAAATTTCTAGCAAAGATTTTCCCATGAAATTAGCCCACACTTTTTAATGCTTGTCTGTTTACTGGAAGGAAGGAAGGAAGGAAGGAAGGAAGGAAGGAAGGAAGGAAGGAAGGAAGGAAGGAAGAAAGAGGGAAAGAAAGAAAGAAATATCCAATAATAAATAGAACTCAATAGCATTGTTGGTGTTACTTTGTCCCATAATGTCATGTCAGGACATTTTTTTTTAGCTTTTGTTTCATTTATATTTTTTATTTTTATTTTATTTCATCCTACAGGTTTTGCTTATGTATTATGGCTTCTGGCTTTGTGCTTTTATGGGATTCCTGAATGTGTGAACAATAGGAAACAAGTCTTTTTCTGGGTCTATATCTGTTTCGTGTGCCATTTCTTGGGTTATTCGCTTCTTAATGTTTTTGTTTGTTTGTTTTATCTTATCTTATTGTTATCCCTTAGATTCCTATTTGTTTTCTAATGAGAGACATAAAAGAGGTAGAATGCTATGCAAGAACTGGGGGGGGGGCATAGGGAGGAGAACTACATCAGAATGTATTGTATAAAAATATCTATTTTCAACAAAAGAGGGTAAAAGGTAGGTCACATCTCCGCAAGGAATTACATAGTATCAGTGGGTGGAAGCAGTCTGTGTTTCCCTGCTATTCATAGCCAGTACTGCAAAGGTCTGCCTTGCTCAAGACCGACTTGACCTCATCTCCCGAGGACATTTCTCTAAAAAGCACCATGTGTAGATAGTGGTCTTACAGTGCTGTCTCAAATCATTCCACCATGCTAATGAAATCTTCTCTGTGTAGGGCAAAAGGCCAACACGTAGGGTCTTCTTATTCAGAGAAAACCCAGAAAAATGAAACAAATTCAAAACAACGGAAGAACTCGCTACCGTGGTTTGATATTTGGGACAAAGAAAAATACTCTTTCCTTGAAACTTCTCCTCCACATTTCATATTATAGTTTCAGAGACCATGAAAAGAAATTATTAGAATTGGATTTTCTCCAAGGGTAATTGTACTGCTGAGAATCATCACACCATACCTCAAAATAGTTTACATAATTCATCATACAGAAATGTATGGCCTGGTAGGAAGGAGATCTAAAAAGAAGCTTCTATCTAGGAACTCAACAACAACAACAACAAAAAGATGATTCTAGATCATCTACGGCCACTCCAAAGCACGGGAAGAGCCGTCTGAGCTCATGGCATCAGTAGAGCAAAAGAGGCAGACACAGATTTGGATGAACACTGGTAGACAAGAGGAGGGGTGTTGACCGGTGCTAAATGCTAGTAAAAATGCATCCTTTGGTTCAGTTTTAGTTGAGGAGCCAGTACTTTTAGCATTTGATTTCATTCATTCGATTGCTTTGTTGGGGTATAAACTATAACACCGAAAGGCATCTTAAATGTATTATCTGTTTTCAGAAATTATTCTCAGAAATTCTGAGAATCTCTGACAACACACACAGCAGAGAGTAGAACCCAAAACAACACAGTAAGAAATGAATTCTGAGAACTACAGAAAAGACATGTAAGATTTGAAGTTGAAAGAACTTTGAACTGGGCTCAACAATTGGTCAGATTTCCCTACTAAAACACCTTCTCAGAGAGATGAAAGATTTTATATCAGAATATATGTATATGTATATATATATAATAAAATATTATATACTTGACACTGTTATGTAAGACTCAAGCTAATCCTACAATATTTTTATCCTTGGTCAACCTGGTAAGAAATCATGGCACAAATCATGGATATACTAATATGCTCCTTTTAGTATACGGCTTTTAAAGAAGATTCACAGCACCAAATAATGATGAGCTTTAATAACCACAAAGATGTGAAAACAATGTGCGAACATACCAGGTAACTGCAGAAAAAAAATGTCAAAACTGAGAAAGAGCAAGTCTAGACTTTCTTAGTTTAAAATGATAACATTTAAAAACACGTCTTTCTGTGAAATGGTTCTATTGTGGAGAAATATTGTGATGTCATCGCTTCTTCCAATCAAAGAGAGACCATCCATTTCTCTTCCCTTTTTCTCAATCCAGAATGTTCTTTACCTCCCCCCCCAAAAAAAGTGTGGTGCTAAGAAATGTTTCTGGGTTCACTTTTATTGAATTAAAATAAAATGAAAAGTAGCAATGAAATATATTACTGTTCTAGAGAGCAAAAATTTTTGCAGAACACTCATGACAGTGCACCCACTGTGTGTGTAAGTGGGGATGGAGAAGACTGTGTTGGATCACCTTGCTTTCATTTTGAAGTAAAACAGGCCAAACTTTCTAAGTTGCTGACCAAGTATGCAGTCACAGCCTGTGGTACCTACTTCTCCCAGTCTATGTCCTGGAGGCTCGAGGTAACAGAATACAAATATTCCACAATTATATAAATAATCTTGATTTTTCCACTTCAGTACCTTTGCTAACTTCTTAAAGTCTTGCAGAAAGTTTCATTTTCAATGTCTACGAAGAGCCTACTAGTATTTAGTACCTCCACGTGCAAAATTAGGTACTAAGAGATCCTGATGGGCAAGAAGACCGCATCCCTCAGCATTCTAAATAAATATGGTGAAGTTAAAATGCCCCTGGTTGCTTCCATCTTCACGAAGAAATCCAAAAATTTTATTTGTTCCTAATAAAATAAAAAGCTTCAATAAAGTGTAAACACTGTCATTTGATTTACAGGGAACTGTAGGAAATTTAATGGACCTTTTTAAACGGTGCTTGGGAGGTAACTACTTTCCATAAAACTTCTCCTTTTGGCTTCATCGTTTTCTTGTTTTATGCTCAAAACTATCACTAGCCCAATAATAATTTCTCTTCATCCTCCTTCTCACCCTTTCCCTTTCTACCACTCAGATGGTAAATTTATTATTTATTGTATTTTGCCCAAAACTTCTTTGACATGAAAGTTTAAGGTGTAGTTAACATTCAAAAAACATGCATGTGAGAACACATGTCACTTGCAGCTTATTGTTGTTCAATCCAGATAACAAATTATATAAATTTGATGTGAGAATATTAGTTTTATGACATTTTTGAAATTTATAAAGATATGACTTCTCAAACTTGCCTTCAAAAGGAAAAATATCCCTTCTGGATGATTTTCCACACTAGGATTATGGAACAAGTAAACCCTAACATAAGTGCACTTTATATTATACTGTATTATATTAATTGGCAAAAATTCTGAGGGTGTAGTTGATGCAATTATTTATGATTAGATATAGACTTGCTAATTTTGTAAGAGTGATGAAAATTAATTCACTACATTCCTTCCATTACCAATTTCCTCTAATTATAGTTTGACAGCTAAATTTTTAACGAACATAGAAGAGTACAATGAGCTCAAGTTGGAGACTGAGATCCAGACCAAAAATCAGTGACTCTGATTCTGATTAAACATTGTTAGTTCTTCTGAACTGCTTTCAAAGTTTAAATACAAATGAAGGTCCAAAAATTGTTGTATGGTTTTCTCTTCTCTTGAGACTAGTTCTTTTTGCTATTTTAACTTTTTTAGCACAATATATTTTGTCATATTCTTTCTCTTTTCCCAATGCCTGTCATTCTTCTTTCCTTGTTCTCCTGCTTCCTCCCCTCTTCCGGATTTCCCTTCTATTTATAGTTTTTGCCTGCCAGCCCCGTCCATCCTTTCTCCTGTCCCAATATTGACCCTTCACCAGCAGGTGTTTTAAACAGGAAAAGAATTACAACTTCACAGACTTAAACAACTGCAGCATAAACAAAAGCAATGCACCTTGAAATAATATTCTACAACACTAGGCTTCGTAACTGCTCTAGGGAAGCTATGTATAGTAGCGTCAGTAGAATTACTGAGCACTGCTGTCTTTTCTCTGAAGCTGAAATGCCTGGGAGCCTGAAACCTACACCAACCACTACACAGAAGAGCTAAGGTGGCAGTGATTTGAACAGACACATATGAAAAAGAGAATCACCATTGTTTATTGAACCGACAATTTTACCTTTGTATTTAAAAAAAAGTAACTTTCTTCTTAAAATGTAATCGGCCTCTTAGATTTATTTGTTTTAAATTTAAGTTAAATCACATTGAGTGAGGTAATCCAGATCCAGAAAGACAATTATAATATGTACTCATTCATAAATGGTTTTTAAACATAAAGCAAAGAAAACCAGCCTACAAATCACAATCCCAGAGAACCTAGACAACAAAGAGGAGCCTAAGAGAGACAGACATGAATCTAATCT